CTGCCAGTCCGTTTTTGATGGTCCGCAGAAGAATTGGGATATTATTTCCATTTTTATGAAGCTTCAGATTCAAAAATGATGAGTAACAAAACATTCTGGATGGTATATATGTTCAAGACATTATGTAATCTTGAAATAATCACGAGTACACAAATGTGACATCATCAAGCAATAGTATAACCTAACATGACTTGCAAAGTCATGTTCAATATTTGTTAGTGAATAGTTTCTTATCATTACCATTAAGTAATTACTGGATGGTTTACTTGTATAATATATATAAAGATGGCATAGCAACGAAGTAATAGCGGGATCTTCAAGAATCGGCTTAGGCACTAAATATAAATGCTTAAGCATTCATAACTGAAAAATATTTTTGCAAAATATAAAAAAAAAAAAAAAAAAAAAAAAAAAAAAACTTTTCATGGATGCTGAAAATGTCAAATCGTCATACGAACAAATGGAAAAAAATATCACTCTAAAAATATGTAATACTGGAATAAACTTCAAATTTTCAATTTGTTTTATTTAAATAATTACACTATAACTTTGTTACCATTAATGGATGCATTTCATATTAATAAAATAAGTTTTCTGATTATTATTATTATTATTTAAATGTATTTTCCTATTTTTTCTAAATTCATATTAGTGGTCCACCAAATTTAAAATTATACATTTAGTGGTCCATTAAGTTCAAAAGGTTGCTGTGTTAGAGAATAGGAGAAAAATATACAATGAAGAAGAGACGACTATAAAAGAACAAGAATTAAGCAGATACAAAGTAATAATCTTACATATTATAAAATGCAGATTGTGTGTGTGTGTGTGTGTGTGTGAGATGTGTGTCTAAGTTTATATATTGGATCGGATTTCCTACATTTTTCAACCAATTTCAACAAAACTTCACAGGACTACATAAAATTTCCTTGCGGTGGTTCTGACAGTGCCAAAAATTGAAAAAACAATTGTTTTTTCACGAAATCAATTTGAAAACACGATTAAGAGGCATCACTAGAATGAAAGAGGGACAACTCATATCAAGTTATACTTATTATAAAAGCCAGGTTGTTTGTGTGTCTGTGTTCGTTTATATATGGGATTGGATTTCCTACATTTTTCAACCAATTTCAACAAAACTTCACTTTTTTTTTTTGGCAGGTAGTGTTTCTTATTGTCTTGAACACTTTTCTTTATTTTTACATTCAGAATGCTTTAAAAATTCCATTTACAAGACAATTGTTTATAATAAAATTCTATTCAATTGATAGACTCATAATGATTGAAAACAATGTTTTTATTTGAGTTTGTCCAATTCGTAAAAAAAAAAAAAAAATAATTAAGACATGCGTGTCCGTCAACCTTAAACAATAATCTTTGTCAATTTTGTTTTTCAGTCTTTATGATGGTCGATACTTGATCTATCTCTTACTGTTATATCCCTGGGCAACGCTGAGCTCTACTGCTAGTGATTGATATTGCATTTCAGTTTTTGAAGATCAAAGTTGAATGTGAAGCAAGAAGCCACAAGAAAGTTCCATAAGTGAGAAGTATGAGAAAAAAAACAAACTATTAGCATAGAACTTAGACTTAGCCATTTCAGCTGTAAACTGATGAGACCTTGCTGCAAATCTAGTACTGTACCAAAATTTATAAAATCTACGTATCATAGAGGAAAGTCCATCAGAACAATTACCATGAAAGTATTTATAGAAAAGACACAGGGAAGTTACATTACAGTTGTGGGAAGTTGACTGTAGCCGAGATGCCAGGTCAGGACCAATAACATTTCAGATTCTTTAGATTTTATCAAGAATCTCTAAATATACAGCAGAGAGCATCAGACTATGTGTGGCAACAACAGCCAAATCATGGATGAATAGTAGACTTATATATTTATAAGATAGATTCTGGCGAGAAAAAAAATGTCAAGCAAAACATAATGAACCATCTTTCTTAGCTGCAGACTTAGCAATTGATTCAACTTTCCACTTCATGTCAGCTGGAAACGTTTTGTTTTATTTATTTGCTTTTATTAAAAATTCATGCATTGCAAATGATTTTTACTTTTATTTCATTAATTTGCCAATGATTTTTATTGTTAATATAAAAATAAATTACACTTTTTCATTTTTGTTTAAAGTGAATGCATTGAGAATGATTTTTTTTTTTTTTTTTAAAAAAAAGAAAAAGATTGCCCTACCAATTACTGTAATTTCTTGAAAATAATACACATTTTTTTTTAATGTAAATTACAGGTGATAGTAGGGATGTGTATTATAAATAGGTTTAAACAAAAATATTTTTTTGTTATTGATTTATAATAATAAATATGTACTTTTTGTTCTAAAATAAAGATATTATCCCAATTCTCATTTTAAATCAAACAATAATAATTTTAACAAATTTTTGTAAATAAATTTGTTTATCACTAACTGCATTTTATTTGGTGAAAAAAAAAAAAAAAAAAAAAAAAAAAAGTATAAAAAGGCCAATTTTGAAGAAAAGAGAATATCAAATTAATTTACTGAAATTTTAATTTTCATCATCATCATCACCACCACTATCTATTACAGAATCAATATCTAAATTGTCATTAAACAAATTATCATTCACAATATTATCTTTGTCCTGTTCAAAATTATCTTCAGCCTCTTCATTCTCTTGCCAAAGGATGACATCTTCAGAGCCATCCATGGCTGCTGTGGGACAACACTTCTTGAAATCTCTTGCACGTTTTGACAACATTTTAGTGGCAAAATAAAATTTTATATTTATCAGGAAAACCGCATGGTAATTTTCCACATTATTTTAGCTTTTATTCTTAATGTCAAGGTTAACAAAATGTCTTCATAATTTTTATTTTTTTGACAAAAATTTATAGATGCATATTATACATAGGGAGAGATATATTTCTTAATTTTTGGATCATTTGTTAAGGTGTGTATTATTTATGGGTGCGTATTATTTTTGAGAAATTATGGTAGTTTTACCACTATTTCCGGCTATATCAGCAAAACAGTTCTGATCATAACAGACACCTGTTTGTGCGGGGATATTTCATTTCAATTAAATCCATCAGTCTTATTCACCTTTGTGTTACTTGGCAGTTTCTTTTCTCTGTGAGGGCAAATTATTATACTCTATCACTATTTCCATGAGCTACATTTCTTATTTCCACCAGTTCAGACCTTCACAGCTAGGACATTCTATGCTACACACTTGTAAGGCCTTGGTAAGAAGAAAATTCAACTACTTTGTTTAACAGGCTCCTGATAGAATGCTTTTCAGGTCAGCCGTTATCTAACATATCCTCATAATCTGCACTTACTTCCTCCTCTTAAGTTTATACAAAAACATCATTCATTAACCCTCTACCTTGAATGGCTCTTGTGCCTTGCATTGAGTGAATATCTAATGTGTTTTTTTTGTTTTTTTTTAATACCTATCAACAGTTTTTGGGTTATTTAAAGCCGAAACCTAATTTGTAAGAATAATTTCTTCATGAGTAAATATTGAATTTTTCTTGAGAATAACAAAGTTTTCCAAATACCTGCCAGTCTACTATTTAACCCAAAGCTGGAGAGAGGAGATGGATCCATACCTTTCCCAAGGATATTTGCACATAAGTGGAATTTGAACTCAGATCTCTGCTTTTTTTATTCTAAGCCATTATCCATTAAACTACACACACATTCAAGTTTTAGTAATTGACTAGCAGCATGGCCCGGCGTTGCCCATGCTTGATTCAAAAATCGTACAACTCATACAGCAATCGCTATCACTTGACTTAAAATATTTTTGCCTTTCCTTGCCTTTAAAGGAGTGCTCTTTGCCGTGCTGATGTTGCTACATGCCTTACTTCTTGCCTATCTCACATTGCAAATTTTTACTACGCTCTATACTAAACATTAAATCTGTTACGAAAAAAGTACTAAACACAAAACGATCAGCTTTAAAAAAGGACTCGTAACTGGAAAAACTGAATGAAAAAAGAATGTTAACAACAAATACTTTTTCACACCCAACCCAGTTCTGCAGAATCAGAATCAATGTTGAGTTTAAGCAAGCGAATGAGCCAATTGGAGTAAAGTGCTATGCAGATTTAAATTTTTCCCACTTGTGATGAATGCAGCTATCGATTTTTTTTTCATGCTAGCATGCTAGATAACATTCATGTCAGTCAGCTGTTGGCTCTCACGCTGGTGAATAGTATCTCCCTGCCTATTCATGGCAGCCAGCTATAGGCTCTCACTCTGGCCAGTAGAAAATGGCCGCAAACTACATGAAAACTGCCGTAAAAGCATGAAAAAAATTGATTATTTCCACTATCAATGGGAGTTGGGAAATGCAATGTCAGTCTTGGCATTCCCACTAACTTAGAGCATGTGCATGTAAATTTTGGTGCAAATCCATCAAAAATTGCAACTGTGCATTCGTTACACACACACATATCCTGCCTTTTATAGATAGAGATTGATTTGTTTTTTATGGCTTATCAACCCTTTGCTTGTTATTTAAAACCACAAAATATTTTTGGATTGTAAGAATTTTTATTTATTTATTTTTTGGGGAAGGGAGATAATGATTTCGTGATACAAGTCTTACTAATTGACTAATAACTAAATAGAGGAAAGATATTGATTCATACCTTTCCCAAGGGTATTTGTGCATCAGTGAATATAACGAACCCAAGGAGAATTGAAACTCAGCTCTCTGATTAAAGATTCGGAGCCATTCATCATCATCTGACCTCCCTATGGTGGGTTGGAACTCCACTGACAATCCCTTTACACACTGTTCGGTCCTGCATTGCTGTCTCAAGCTCCCCAACCCTCAGTCCCAAGCTATGGTGTCTGGGAAAGTCAATTTTCATTAAAAGACACTTCTGTCCGTTCGGTGGCAGTGGTTGGCAAATTGTAATTGTTTGAGCTTAAGAGAGAGATTGGTAATCAGTTCTCCATAAATTCTACATCCATTAAATTGCCAGCACATCCAAGCTTACAGCGCCTGGTATTTCCAAGTAGTCACCCATCTAAGTACTGACTTGACTTGATACTGCTTAAGTTCAGTGATCATATGGGAACCGGTGTGCCAATGTGATGTGGCTGTATGGGTCGAGGGGAAAGAGAGAAAAAATTTCAGCACTTCTAGACTTCTTGGGACCCAAGGATTGATTTGACATCTACTTGAAAACAAGGTAAGTTTTAATGTACTTGTCCATGTACATCTTGGAAAAATCTCTCTTTTTTTTTCTTTTTTTTTTTTTGGTACAATGAGGTTCACCCTGTACAAGGAGCCACTCGAGGTAGAGGGTTACAGAATAACAGGCACAGTTTATGCAAGTATGTTGGGAAGATAACCTCTTCAAGTCTAGGGTTAACGGTTAAGATTGTAGTTGTAGAATAACAATAATAAACAGCACTTACCGGCGTAAGGGTCCCAGCTAGCGTCCAGCTGGCAGACAAAAATAAAGCAGGTTGTAACTTAATCCAAACCCTGCAAACTAACTGATGAATGAAACTGGTATTTATACAGAAATACCTCCCACTCAGGTACCAGCAGCCAATCACAGCCCAAGCAATGGACTATCCCACTTTAGCACAATGAGATGCTCCATGACACCATAAACAGCTCTCTTAAGGTTGAGTTATTATTCACTCAGCTTGCTCCACAACAGTGTTTATCTCGACCACATGATTTTTCTACAGTAGTGATCAGGAAAAACATTCTCTTGGGAGTCAATTCCATAGAGTAGTAGTTTGCAAGAAGAAGCAGCTTGAATGGAACTTTGAGTCAACAAAATACCGAAGGAGTGAGAGTGGATTATTACAATGTGTGTGTAGCATGGTGGGTCTAGCTGTGAAGCTTAGAACAGTTGGGACTAAGGAACGTAGTTCATCTGAGAACTTTCTGTGGAAGTAGTGAGAGGCATGCAACATTTTGTCTGTGGGGAAAGGAGTTGCAGGGTGGAAAATAATTTGTCACCCATAAAGATACAGAGACACTTTTGAACCCTATCAAGACTGTAAAGTAAGGACTGTGAAGCTCCTTCCCAAATATGACAGCAGTACCACATTTTAGGCCAGATCTGGCTTTTGTAGATGTAGAGGATAGCAAGAGGAATCAGATACTTATTGGAACAGTACAAGGAATCAGCCATTTTACTACCCTGTTTAGTGATGGACCATAAATAAGAGTTGCACTTGAGGCCTGGGTTGAGTTTAAGGCCCAATACTTACTCAAGGCAAATGCATTTGTTGTGACTGATGATAGTTCAGGGTCTGATCCATAATGATGGAATGCCACTAGTTTGGTTTTTGGGGCATTTAATGCAACCACCTAGTATTACTCCCCCCCAACTGATCTGTTAGAGCTAGATCAGAGGAAAGATCAGCTGCCAGTCATCTAGAGTTTTGGAGGTGCAACCATATACCATTGTATCATTAACATAGATATTCACAAATGATCTGTGTATACTTTTAGAAAGATCATTTATATAAAACAAAAAAAAGGTAGTTGGTTTGAGAAGTGATCCCCTGTGGTATGTCTGTGTTAATTGCTTCCCCAAAAGATTAACCATTGACTACTACTACTACCTTCAGGGACCTACGTGTTAGGAAGGACTTTATTATTGAGAAGATTCTTCCAGTGATTCCATAGTCAGAGAGCTTGGCATTTGAAATCTCTAATGCGATAGTCCTCGAGAAGTATTTGTCGTCTAGTGGTGTCATTTTGGAATCTTAAACCTTATATTTGTACTCAGGTGGTGGAATTTTCAATGCCGTTTCTTTTTTAATCCGAGTCTTCTAGAGAGTTCATTTTTATGCTAAGTCTATTGAAGACGTAAGATTCGGACAAATGTGATCATCCTTTCAGTCATCCTCCAGTGTTATTTTCTGCTTTTTCCTACATAATCAACCATACCTGATTTCAGTGTCTCCCCAATCCTAGGACGACATCCTTTTGATGTTCCGCCACCTTTACTTTTAGGGTTCAGCTGGTCTTGTTTGGTTCAGTTCGGTTTATCGCATATCAACCTCAAAGGGTTATTTAATGGCAACAAAATTTTTATTACTGCTAATATTTTACAAAAATGTATTGCAAGTATTAAAACCTATTTTTATACTTTTATAGTGTTTGTCCGTAGCTGGGACCCTGAAAGGTTCTATCAGTGGATCTGAGAACACCAGCAATTAAGAGGTGGTTCCATGCTTCTCCAAATCTCCTGATGAAATGCCTTGTTGGACGTAGCTTACCGCCATACCCCAGGACAGTCAGTTGGTCTCTCTCTCTCTCTCTCTCTCTCTCATATTACACCATTGGACTATCCAACAAACATATGCTCACATGCATTAAAATTTTGATTAAATCATATTTGTTTTTCCGCTTGTAGTAAGTTGAATCCCTGTCTTGCTGTGGCGAATAAAAAGAAAACAGCAACCAGCGAGTAAATTCAAACTCTCCCAACTGGTATTCTAACCTTGAGTCATTCCTTCTTGAGTTCTGTCTCAAAATCACACTAACAGACTTTTCTAGCCGCCAACCGTGAACGTCACTCAAAGAACCCCCACACTGGGAAAAATTAGTTCCTTTTATATTTGTCCATATACCCATAATCCCTTGCGTCTTCATGCGATCCCATAATTCATTGCGTCCCTGTCCCATAATGCATTGCATCTTTATTGCATAAAAATGCAATGCAAGTCCCCCCTCATTCTTTTACGTTATCTGGCCGAGGACGGATTACGGCAGAGCGGTAAGTGATTTTTTCTCCCTCATTTCAACTGCAGTAGCTTTACATGCTAAGCAAATACGGGCTCTTTTTTGGTGAGGACAAGGCAAGTCGCGACCAGTTGTGCTCGTCACAGGTTCTGTCTCATCACGTCTGCCACACTTGCTTAGTGCGGAAGATTTATATGATCTAACTCAGTGGAATAAACAGACAAGTGACAAAATGGCAAAAATGGAAGCTTGAACTGGTTAGCCTGGAAAGTGGAATGAAAACCTCCATAATGACAATCAAAATGTTAAGATTCCACACCACATCAAATAGAATGTTCAAAAAGAAACACCCATTAATACTGAAAAAAGCAACTGGCCTTGAGAAACCGGTTTTCCTTAAAAAGTGTTTTAAGAAAAAGCTTTCATAAATTTCAACCGAAAACAGTACTGGCTGCTCGGTCAGTGAATGCCAAATGTTTCTTTACAAGGAAATGGCTATTATTATCATGAACTGAATAAAGGGTTTGGTTAGAATTCAAGACTCCAACAGAAGGCTAAAGGGTAAAATGGCTGAAACATAAGTTTAACAACTAATATGAACATACTTGTCTAAATAGAAAACATGATATTAATAATACATTTTATCACCACCCTTGATTTTCAATACCCAGAATACAGGTTATTGTAGATATTTTCCCTATATTTGTTAAGTACTTTTTATCATGTTCCTAGTCACCAACAAGGAAAGAAAAAGACAAAAATAATGTGGATCTTATCAATTGTAAGGTACTGACTATTTTTGGGATTTGAAGAAACGACATCTTTAAAATGTCAACAGAAACTCAAACTTGAATACCAAAATTTGAAAATCAGATTAAAATAAATAAATAATAATGATACAAAAGGGATTATATAATGTTTAAATTTGGGCAGCCAATTTTCATATATTATATTTTCATTAAACAAGTTTGGTTAAAAAGAATGTTTTTGTTTAATGGCGTGAAATATAGAAAAGCACTTCCATTGCTCTTTAACCAATAAGAGATATATATATATATATATATATATATATATATATATATATATATATATATATAAATATAATAGTAAAAAAATAGAATGAACAGCAAGATATATATAATCCGGTGTTCTTATTGATATTTTTACAAAACAGTGCTCAATGTAAATTTACAGAGCATAAATATTATAAATTAACTGATAAACGGATGTCATAATTTCGTTGAAAAATTCACCCCTACCCCACCTAAACTTAACCTCTTTTTTGAGCGTAAATCATAATTGATACAATAATAGTTAATAAAATAAACACGCTACTGCCCCTGTCTAAATGATTGAATTTGTATGTATTCTTCGAAACAAAAAATTATGAACTGTATGTGCGCTTAAAACTCAGTAAATTTAAAAATAAGTTATACCAAAATTCACTTGAAGATGAAACAGAACTAATGCTTTTAATTTTAACTATGTAATTAAATTTGAAGTTTTAGCTTTGGATTTTGAAATATGGTAATTCCTGTGTAGCGAAGGAACCATATTTTTAAATAAGTTAATTTATAATTATATATATATATATATATATATATATATATATACACAACCTGATTTTTAAGTTAGAAGCTCTACATGCTATTTTTACTTTTGTTTTTTCAAACGTGTATTGACCCTTTTTTATACTACTGTTTTCTGGTCTGATCCAGCTCTGACCATTAACCTTTTATGTATTATATACACACACAATATATATATATATGTCATATGGCAATATAAGAGGTTGTCCTTTTGTCATTTCTCTTATTACTATACAAGGAGTTGGATCAAATGACAAAATAAAATATGGATTAGAATCCGACATAATGATAAGGAAACATTTATCAATCTAATTCACTTTTATTAAAGCTTAATTTTTATTGGCTGATCAGATTTCATGCACATTCAACTTGTTAAATGTTAGTATAATTTATGGCCTCCCAAATTCGAGGAATTAAAATTATACTAATGTTTGTTTAACAAGTCGAATGCATGTGAAACCTGATTAACCAATGTCGATTATACAACACAAAAGTAAAAATATCAGAATTCCTTTCTTCTTTTACTCCAGGTCTCATTCTCTGATGAGGCTTTAATAAAAGTAAAACATTAAATTGATAAAGTTTATATATATATATATTATATAAATATATATATTAAGAAATGGACAAGGTCCGACAATTTATTTATTAAAGACATTTTTATGTTTAACGTTGTTATTTATAGATACAATATTTTCTATGAAAATTTCTCGGACATTCAGGCCGGTAAATGTTATTTAATACTGTTTATCATAAACAGAGCATTTGCTTAAATACTTGTATCTATAAATAACA